AAAGCTTTTACTCGTGTCCCGACTTAAATCTAATCTCGTTCTATGTCTTGGTTTGCAGACGGAAACAAACAGGTAACAAAGAACCTTAATTTAATGCCAGTCTACCTACACGGTATCTAAAATTATTTGATGTTTAGCTAAGTTCTAATTTAAAAGCTATTAAACAAACTGAGAAAAAAAATCACAACTCTTGTAGGTCTAGATTTTAGTTTGTTCGGACTATTGAAATCTACTTATTATCTAAAGCTATTATTATTACGGTTAAAGACATTTATTTTCTCAAAAGAATTTACAAATCCACTTACAGAGAAAACACAAATACAATTTAAATGTGTGTATGTTTGAAAAACATTTGAAAAACGTCCACCTACAAGGTGAACCGACGACATCGTGAAGGTAACAGGGAAGCGCTGGACGCAGGCCGCTACCAATCGATCAACATGGAAAGCATTGGGGGAGGCCTATGTTCAGCAGTGGACATTATGGCGGAAATGATGATGATGATGAATATTATATTGTAGTATTTATAATGTCATTCAGAGATTTAAGAGCGATTTAAGTACTTTATTTATTTATTTTATTTATTTATTTATTTATTTATTTAGGAAAACCAGGGTTTTACAGTGTGTAATAATAACATAAGATAGGCAACGAGTAAACCACTTATAGGTTCCCACAGATAAAAACAATTTAAAAAATTTAGTGAGCCTTTGCACCAGGGTTACTACATACTACGTACTACACTACTATAATATACTATGTAATACCTAAATAAAAAGTATTGGAAGACATTGCCAAACAGAAAAACAATTTAGTTGTCCTTAAAAAAACGGTCGCCTAGCTTTCTCCTCGCCACAGCAATGCTAGTACAAAATATGTCGATGTTAGTCTCCTTGACAAATTCGTTCAAGTTCCTACTCGCCCGCCAGAGAAAACTATTTTGCCTGTAGTTAGAGTCTACCTTGGGGATGTATAGTGGATCATTATTGCGCAGAATTCTTTTTGGAGCATTAAATTGAATGTTAGCTAGGAGTTCAGAGCAGTCAATCTCAGCTGTGATAACTTTTATAAGATATGTGATATCAGATATTTCACGCCTAATGGCAAGAGGAAGGATGTGGTGCCTTTTACAGATGTTAGAGTAGTCCGACGAACTATACTGTGATCTGGTACGGTAACAAATAAACCTTATAAACTTTTTCTGGACATTCTCCAAGCGAGAGACGTATGTTTGGTACCTAGGGTTCCAGATCTGCGACGCATACTCAAGGTGACTACGCACAAATGTGCAATATAGTATTTTAAGTGTCTTTACCTTGTTAAAACAGACTGAGCTACGCATTACAAAACCGAGAGCCCTTGACGCCTTAGCTACTATGCTATCTATATGGTCATCAAAAATCAGTTTGGAATCGTGTATCACTCCCAGATCGCGAATGGATGTCTTCCTCTGTAGAGTTTGGCCACCCATAAGGTATGGATACAATTTAGTATTTAGCTTGCGACTGAAAGTTACAATAGAACATTTGGAGGGGTTGAGATCCAGTTTATTGAACTTACAGTATTCAACCAGACGTGACAAGTCAGCCTGCAGGGCAGCAGCATCCCGTTCCGACGCAATTGCGGAGTAGATTTTCATATCGTCTGCGAAGCAGAGAAGGCGGGAGGAGTGCAGACAAGAGTTAATGTCGTTTACAAATATGACAAACAACAACGGGCCCAGTAAAGATCCCTGAGGAACGCCGCTAGGGATGGGTATCCAGCTGGAAATGTAATTGCTCACCACCACAGCCTGAGATCTATTTGAGATATAAGATGCGAACCATCTAAGAAGGTCACCTCTGATTCCAATCATTTGAAGCTTGTCCAGAAGAAGGTTGTGATCGATTCGATCAAATGCTTTGCTGTAGTCCGTATAGATTACATCAACCTGCTCACCATTATCCATATTGAGGGTTAAGTAATCATTAAGCAAGACAAGGTTTGACACGGTCGAGCGCTTTCTCAGAAAACCATGCTGAAAATCACTAAAAGAAATTTTTATTAGAGAAGGCGAATACCACTTAGGGTGTCGATTGTGGACAGCGTTTACGGACGGTATGTATTTATTCTTTAGTTCATCTAATGTTCCATAGAAAAACGCAACGCTCTCCTCGAGTGACCTAGCAAGAAACTCACTTTCCCAGTCAATCCTTGAAATGGTCATTCATTGCGGTGTAGTTACCTTTACCATACCTATACAACAAAGATGCAGCCGGTTTAAGTTTGTTAAATTGTAACAGAGATATGGAGAAAGTAATCGCATTTTGATGGGTATCGATAGGTACCAGTGGATCATCACACTCAATTACCGATACGTACTCATTCGATAACACCAAGTCGAGTAACCTGCCGAATTTATTAATCACTCCATTATATTGACAAAAACTATGAGTACTTAATTCATCCACAAGCAGTAACTCGTCCGGTGTTTTACAGTTAGATGGCGAAAAAGTACCATCATCATTATTCAGCCAACCAATACCACTCAGATTAAAATCGCCAGCAACTAAGAACTTGTCCAAGGAGTTGTTCATTACAGTATTATTTAGATTATCTAAGTAGTTTGATAGCTGTTGAGAAAACGAGTGACCTAAGTTTTGGCTGCATAAGTAAAGTACACACAAGTGCAACTTTAACGATTTATTATTTGGCTGATCAAAAAGTAAAGTGACCCATAAATCTTCAGCTGAGGAGTGAAATTGAGGCTGAGGTGAAACGCAAAGATCTCTGTGTGTGGCTATCAGCACACCACCACCGCGACCCTGTTCCGTCCGGACGTAGTCACGATCGCGCCTCCATCTGGGGGCACGGCAGTGCCCCCACCAAGTCGAGCAAAAAAGCGGCACGGCCGTACCATCCTTTTCTCGAAGCAATTCAGGCCATTTTCGACCGCCTGTAACTTCGTTGTGGATAAAACTAGAAAGCTGAATTTTCATTAGCTATGCAGGCATTGTAAAGACACGGTATATTTAAAATTTCATTCAATTTGAACCAGTAGTTTAAGAATTATAACGGGTCAAAGTTACTTAATTTTGTCACTCACTGACTGACTCACAGTAGCCTCTTGACTAATCGTGGGTTAATTTCTATAGAAAAAATGTCGGCCGTGCCGTTTGCATGAGACAAGCCAGTTGCTGAGGTAGTTTGGTTCGTATTTGAGTTTAGAAAAGTTGACTGAAAAAACGATGAGAATGCATTGCATATACCTACGCCAGAAGTAGCCATAGTTGCATTATATGTCATACTACTAGGGATAACACTAGAACCACGTCGCGACTTAATAAATGTCCAGAAGTGCTTAGGGTTGCTTTCAATGGAATCTTCGACCAAAGAGATGTACTTCTGGTAACAGACTAGTTCTAGGTCTCTCACTCTTTTGCGCAGAACATTATAAGAATCTAGGTCAGAACGATTTCTATAAGTTTTATATTTTTTCAGGAACTTACGTTTTTCTTTTATTATTTTTATTAGAGAAGGCGAATACCACTTAGGGTGTCGATTGTGGACAGCGTTTACGGACGGTATGTATTTATTCTTTAGTTCATCTAATGTTCCATAGAAAAACGCAACGCTCTCCTCGAGTGACCTAGCAAGAAACTCACCTTCCCAGTCAATCCTTGAAATATGGTCATTCATTGCGGTGTAGTTACCTTTACCATACCTATACAACAAAGATGCAGCCGGTTTAAGTTTGTTAAATTGCAATAGAGACATGGAGAAAGTAATCGCATTGTGATGGGGATCGATAGGTACCAGTGGATCATCACACTCAATTACCGATACGTACTCATTCGATAACACCAAGTCGAGTAACCTGCCGAATTTATTAATCACTCCATTATATTGACAAAAACTATGAGTACTTAATTCATCCACAAGCAGTAACTCGTCCGGTGTTTTACAGTTAGATGGCGAAAAAGTACCATCATCATTATTCAGCCAACCAATACCACTCAGATTGAAATCGCCAGCAACTAAGAACTTGTCTAAGGAGTTGTTCATTACAGTATTATTTAGATTATCTAAGTAGTTTGATAGCTGTTGAGAAAACGAGTGACCTAAGTTTTGGCTGCATAAGTAAAGTACACATAAGTGCAACTTTAACGATTTATTATTTGGCTGATCAAAAAGTAAAGTGACCCATAAATCCTCAGCTGAGGAGTGGAATTGAGGCTGAGGTGAAACGCAAAGATCTCTGTGTGTGGCTATCAGCACACCACCACCGCGACCCTGTCCCGTCCGGACGTAGTCACGATCGCGCCTCCATACAATATACCGGTTGTCAAACAGTTCGGAGTCCGATATTCCGTCTAACAGCCATGTTTCTGTCAGTAAGATAACGTCATAATTAGCCAAAGATAAGTTACGGAAAAATGTTGTAGTTTTGGATCGAAGCCCGCGTACGTTTTGGTAGTAAAATACTATATTTCCATTCCCATTTGCTATATTACTTGCATTCATTTATTAATAATTACAAATTTAGTTAAAAACAATACCTAATATCAAAGTAAAAACATAGATTTACGACAGGTAAATACGCCGGGTGAATAATAGCGAGCGGACGATAATTTATTCCGTAGGCAGTTAGTAAGCGAAACCGGTAGCAATAGTTAAAAAACAAAGATAGATTAAAGTCGCAAAGCTCAGTTATTCGGTAACTACGGCAAAGCAGGCGGCGGAACGCGCGAGGTGCCAGTGCGAGCGGGACAGATAGCGGTTCATCGCTGGGATATTTACGCAATAATGACCAGAAGCGCATAGCACAATAGACAGGCGATAACTCGGCGTAGGCGAGCGGATGAGTAATATGCGAGGCAGAGGTTATAAACATTTTAGCATTACTGAGGCGGGAGAGTATAATGTTTGTTAAAGTGCATGGGCTTAAACAAAAATTATCTGAATAACACAATAACATATTAAAAATATAAGTATTGGCAGTGTAAAAATAATAAATTAAAATTATGCAAAATAAGATACAGTCTATACAAGCCTGTTTAAATCGCTTTCCGTATGTATAACTACCACATGCGATGTGTCATTTTTTCGGACATGTATTTTTCCATATTTAATCCATATGTAGCGATAGTCTTTAGCTTTCAAAGCTGACTTTGTCTTCGTTAAGAGCTTTTTATATTCCGAGGTCAGGTGATCGTTCACGAAGATCCGGTCAGAATTTCCACTGAAGCCTATCTCATTGGCAGTTATGGTTTTCATAGCTCGAGCTGCAGCGACAAACTCTTCCTTGACGTATCGGTTGATGAAGCAGATAATAATCGATTTATCCTTTGAGTTATGGATAGGTATTCTCGACACGTAGTTAATTTGCGTCTTGGGAAATTCGTATCCTACTCTCTTAGCTATCGCTCCCACAACCGAGAATAAGTTTTCACCCTTCCTCATGGGCACTCCTTTTATCTCAACATTATTGAGACGGGCCCATTGCCCCTTAGAGGAAGACTCGTTTTTTACTTGGCATAAAGCCTCCTGGGTTGCAGAAATAGTCTCCTGGATACGCGCTACTGCAGGCAAACTCGATTCCACCGTGGCCAGCCGCGCAGCATGTTCGTCTATTTTCGCACTGCTAAACTCAGAGGCGGTCTTGAGGTCAGCAATCTCGGATTTGATTGCCCTCACGTCCTCCAAGAGAGTAGATAAGCTGGTAAGCTGAAGTTTAATTCCGCGTATTTCGTTGAGGATGACCTCCAGAGATGCCGATTCAGGTGATGCGGGAATCGATGAGTGAGGCGAAGAACTTTTGCACGCAGGGCATCTCCACGCAGCCCTACGATCAGAGCGTAGCTTACGGTAGGCTGTTTCTGATATGTTGGCACAAGCGAAGTCCAAATGTCTCTTGCATGACCCACATTGAGCTCCATCGTTGAAAGCTGAGTTGCACATCGCGCACTTCATATTGTAGGAGACAGTATATTATAAGCAGATTATATAAAGAAGTATAAAAGGTTGGCAACAACTGGTTTTGGTGGTAACCGGTGTGCGTACGTGTTGTACTGGTAAGCTCTCGGGCTCGACTGATGAAATCTATAACTTACTTTCACTAGGTTAACTTTACTACTGAAGCTTAAAACGACATGAAGTTTGAAACACAATTAGAATCACACTCTTTTAGCAAATTTAAATTTTATAATTAGTTATTTCCAGCTAAACGGTCCAACGGACATTGAAACTGTGTTTGTTCTGCAGAAGAGAGCAGTGCGGGCCATTTATAACCTTGGACCCCGATTTTCCTTGAAAGATTTTTTTAAGGAAATAAACATACTGACAGTAGCTTCACAGTTCATTTATGAAAACCTTTTATATGTCCGCAAAAATATAGAGCAATTCACGAAAAAGAGCGATTTGCATAACTTTAATACAAGAAACAAAAATAAACTTGCCGTTCCAAATTTCAGATTGCATAAGATTGGTAATTCATTTATGGGAAAATGTATTAAATTCTTTAATAAATTACCACAAACTGTTGTAGAACTACCCATTCATAAATTCAAAGCACATATTAAAAGTACCTTAATGAAAAAGGGCTACTATAAAGTCGATGATTATTTAAAAGATAAAAATGTTTGGGATACGTTACTGCCTAGCTCGCATAAATATTTATAACTTTGTACATTTTAAAGCATGTAAACCTTTGAAAAAGAGGCTGACAATAGTGACTGAGTTTCTTGCTCTGCTTCTTCTCAGCACTGGCCCATTTATTGTCCTGAAGCAGTGGTAGGGTTAATACTGGGACGTGTAAAAGTGCTTTTTTTTAAGCCTATTTACAGAAATAAATGAGTTTTAATGAGAGAGAGTTTTTAATCTGTTTTGACATAATGGTTATTAATACAGCACCGTTTGGCGTCCATGATTACATTTACAGCTGTTTATGTTTAAACAAATGCCGGCTAATTAAATGGCACGATGAAACGGCCAGAGATTAATTAATAATCGCTGCTCGTTATTCATATTTACCATGTCTATACTCGAATCGAGAGTAATTACGAGGAATGCGTAGAATAAAAAATAAAATTATAAAATATTACGTGATTGTCGGAATAACTCGTGTATATGAAGGTATCGAAATTTTGTTTGACCACAATTATGAATATACGAGTACACTAAAATACCACTTCATTTTGACCTAAATCTGTACAAAATGTCAATTATCAATTAAATATTACACGATACTCCGTGAAAATAGGTTATTTCAATGTGAATGATAATGTTGTGAATGTTGAATGCCTACTCTGAAAGATACGAATTTTTAACACGTAATTTTTAAAAGAAGCTAATCCCTTAGTTGAATCATAAACTGAGTTGTTTGCTCGTCAGATGCCAGATGGGTGGCGAAGGGAACTGTTGAATTATGAACTAGTACGTTGTTATTAAGACAATGATGATCATGAAAATTCAACGCAAGAACTTCTGAGCTTTTCTTGGCTTTTCATACCTTTTTTTTAATGCATAACAAGGCAGTTATTTGACCACAATCGCAAGTGATGTTAAGTGGGATGCAGTCTAGAATGATACATATCTGCCCTGTAAGTGCCTATTCACTCTCGCCTTGTATCGTAGCTGATCTAATAATAGTCTAATTTACTTTCATTATTAAGAGAGAAAAGTGAAAATAGCAGCTTTTAGCCTTCCTAAAATTTTCGCATATGAAACAACACTTGGATTAGGGCTACCTACCATTTTTTTGTTTTGTTGAAACAAGCCAAAAAGTTGGTATTAAAAAACAAATCTAGAATTGTATTCTAAAAAGGTCATCATGTTAACAATTCGAATCACTCCAACTGCCTAATTTGGCATCCAACATTGTCTGATTGAGCCTTTCGCTCGAATCGGCTAACTTATATTGAAAAACTTCTCGGCGGCCATACGCGAATAATTGTACAGCCCTTTGCGGAGTATCATTTGACTTCAGTTACTTTTGCTCCGGCTTTTAGGTGCGAAGTGGAAAACAGCGTTGTGTTTTTTAAATATTCAGCTTTTCTATTCCAGTTGCGCGCTGGAAATCCAGTTGTGTCTGTGATGGAAAAGTCTTTGATGTAATTGAATTAGTTGTATTTTCATCCAGATGGATTATAAAGCAAAAAAAGCTACCTACATGGTTCTAGAAAAAGAATGAGAGTGAGGTTTAAAAAAAAACTTAAAAAAAATAGGTTACTTTTGAACTGATCGTCGGTCCACTTAGTGGGAGGCCTGCCCACGCTACGTTTTCCGGCTCGTGGTCACCACACGAGAACTTTCCTGCCCCAGCAGCCATCAGCTCTACGAGCTATGTGCCCTGCCCACTGCCACTTGATTTTAGCGATTCTGCGGGCTATGTCAGTCATTCTGGTTCTCCTACGGATCACCTCATTTCTGCATAGCACGCTCCACCTTACTTATGTTGAAATGTACAAGGATGAGAAACTTTTATGACGGTTTTCTTTAAACCATTTTTCACCACAATTCAAACGCTCTATTTTCGCAAAGGGTTCGGTAAGTCAGACGTCAAATTCCGTTTCACCCCGCTTGGCGCCAAGTTCGGCAAAGAGAAACCAAGTTCGCTTGAACCGCATGTGAGCTCCGCCAACTATACTCGGCTCGCAGACACAATGCCTAATTTAAAGTAGGGCGCAGCGTATAATAGCGTTAAGAGTGTTACTCCGAGGACTTATTACTGAACGGTGATCGCCAGCGCCGAAAAGTTTGTTAGCGGCCTTTCCAGTGAATTCATTACTATTGTAATCTTAAATTATTAAATTCAATATTCAAAAGCCAACGATTCTACATAAAAATCGTAAATTAATTAATTTAGAGCATTTCCATTTTTAAAAGCGTTTTTACACGTCTTTGTATAATTTTACCTATACCACTTTGAATTTCTAGATATTTTATAAATGCAATGTATAAAATTAATATTTTATACTGGTTACCGCAATAAATTTATTGCTTCCTATCGATACAATGAACCGTTATAAATTTTTACAATAGCACTGCGGATCACATGCGATTATGACACATATTATAAGTAGATGGATTCTATGTAGGCAGTTTAATAATTTTTCACTAATGACGTTAGTTTATCTCTATCGATTCTCTTGGAGAGTACAAGGCGACTGATCGCCATCCCTTTACACGACACAGCCAGTTCGCATGGATTACTCGCGGCCGCACTAAACTTATTGGAACTAATTAACGTCACAAAATTGGTTTCCCCTGTTATATTAAGACACCTCCAGGGTTAACGTGGCTGACGAACATAACTAGCAGTTGCCCGCGGCTCTGCCTGCTTACATACAATAAATTGCACTTTGGGAGATATGAATTATAAGAGGGGGCATTGGGTTTGTGGACCATGTAATGGCCATTTGATATCGGCAAAAGAGAAGAAATAATCAATCGGCAAACCAGCAAGTTTACTTTTGATTCTGAAAAAAAAAAATTGCAGAAAGAACAATTCATAATATTTTCTGCTGATTTAAATTTGGCTGTATTCATGAGCAATATAAGTAAAGCATACTTTAGCGAAGCCCTAAACCTTAGGACACAACGGTCAGTGGTAATGACGTGTAATAAGCTCCGAGAATTTGTACTATATTTTATTAGGGTTTGACAGGAGCATAATAGAAGTTGGCACAGCAGACAAAGACTACATTAACTTCTGAATTTAGGATATCAGTATAACCAGTCCAGTCGTATCAGTAATAGTAGCTGAGGATTGCGCCTAGTGAGGGCCCAAAATATAAGGAGACGTCATGTATAGTTCCCCATAAGGGCTACCTTTTCTTTTTTTATATTTACTATATTTTGACGTTCATAAGTGCCACTTGTGGTCTAAACTGAATAAATATTTTTGATTTTGATTTTTTTGAGTGTAGTGGTAGTGTATTGGTCTATCTCTGAGGGACTAAAGTCAAGACGGCTTTTTATTTATTGCTTAAATTTCTTTTTTCTCCAACTTACTGTTGAACAATAAATAAAGCCAAATTATTCCAGCCTTAGGGAAAGGGAAGGTTGGCTTCATAGGACTTGAAAGTTCTTCAAGAATGCATGTTAAGAAGTACTGAGCCATCTGAACCTACATCTCTTGTGGCAGACGTGAGAAGGGATGCTCATGCAATATCGTCAGCGCTCTTTACGGCGTTTTGAGAGGCGCCCTTCGCATGAGCGTCGTAAATCAACATTTTTATTCTGACCCCAACACTCAAACTGCGCACAATATTCATATTTGAAAAAGATCACTCATAGAATTGTCATTCTGTACAACTGTAGTAAAATCACCTGTTTTTCTTTTAAATATTAAAAAAAAAATCTTATTTATTTTTTAAGAGCAGCAACGCGTTAAAATTTTCAAAGCAGACTAAGTCTGTTTTTTATTTATACAAACATTTTATATTTTAGATACAATTTTACATGCGAAAAATAGGTAAAAGCCGTCCAAAAAATCAAACAGTAAAAGTGTGTAATAATCCCGGTTGGCTGGCTCAACAAATAAATCCGGCCAATCCGTCAATGATAGGTAAACGCGCGCAATCGCGCGTCCGACATCCATCAAGTTTATAAATCATTCATGGGCTCGGGTCTCGCTCACCAGTTGCAAAAATATCGAATGCCGATTAATCGATACTTGCATCGACTCCTTGATCCTGGTGAAGTTTTGTGGAAACAACAACTACAGGCATTGCATAAATGAATGGTGCATAAAAAAAGGAAAGCACGAAACACTGCTTTTACTTAGTGTCCATTCCCCAAACACAAATTAATTTAAAATCAAATACAACTGAAACTTTTAATTAGGTACACATAATATACGAGTATTTTGTTGGTCCTGATAAACAATTGTTATCGATAGTGTTAAGTCCAATACTATCTATATCATATCGAGAGAATGACTGATACGAAGCCAAACAAGCACTTCCGCAAACATTGTCCCAACTGCCGGATGCGACAACGTCCAAA